CGGAAGAAACTTGTGACCCATCGGGATCAAACTCATTTGTCACAGGCAAACGTTTGCACACAATAAACAGTATATTATCCTAACAAAACTATAGACTAAGCAAAATTAAAGGCTCTCTATTCCAACGTAAAAGATTTTGACACTAATGTGATGAAAAAAATGCGGAAAACACACGGAAATGTATCACCTCTGCCTCATCCAGAAAGAACCAACAATGTTATTGTGATTTTTCATTTTGTTTTAGTTTCAAAGGAGGCAAAGAACTTAAACGCAAATCTTTAACCGTACTGTTGTCACTGAACATACTTTCATAAAATAATCAATACTCGTTATATCAACTTGGTAAAGTAAAGGCATTCCTTGTAACTCGGTAGATGGTCCATAGCTATAGTAGCTAGGTTTTTCAAACGCTTATTGAATGCTCACAATATTCATTTCATTTGCACTTTAAGGCGCTAATTATAATGGCGATTTTAACTGACTGGATCTACATCTTCGCTATGGATCCAAAATGTCGTTGCCAGTTACAATGCTTTTCCTATGAAGGGAAATATTCATTACTAATTTACATGTGTGCCTATAAATGTGTTTATAATAACGTCCCCATCCCCATTCATGGCCATAAAGAGATCGCAGTACATACTAGTCATTGCTTTTGAAAGATCGCCAGACTGTCAGCGGTTAAAACACAATAAAATTAAAAGATATTAAAATTGTTCGGTTTACAGTCACTCTTGGTATTCTGTGCGAATTCGAAAAAATTTAATTTGAAGATACTTTCTGTCAAGATTTACTGACACCATTTGTTTGTCTTGGAATTATGTGTAATAAAACCCAAAAGATTAGTTTTTTATTCCTGCACAATCGATTAATTTTCGTCTCTTCGAACTGTCGGGGATTTTATGGATGCAATAAATCACAAATAAGAAGACCCGACACTGATTAATAAATTATCCCTCTATGCTGTCGATTTGATTTTTTCCCCATCGTGCATGAATTGAAGTACTCACCCAAATGCATTCTTTTCTTCTGCAAAAGTAGGAAAAATAAATACACACGAAAATAAACGAGTTTGATAGAGAACGTCCACCTTTAAAAACTTTAGCAGGTACACGCTTTTTCCCAGTTCACGCGACCTTGTATGTAATGCAGTATTATCATCTGTTTTCAGAGATTCTCTTCAAAATTTTCTGGAGTACGTACGCTTTTTAAAGAAATATGTTTACGGTTTTATGATTCTTGTCAATTTAATAACTATGTTTATTAGCAACCGAGATGTATGCAAATGATTTTAGTTTTGTAAAGCGAAAGATTTTGGCATTTATGTGAAGACCAGGAAGAAAAGAAGTAAAATAATTGGTTTTATGTAAAGAGAGCCTTTCTACGGTGGCCTAAAGACTAAAAATTAATTGATCTGACGAACAGATAAATAAGGGAACTATATATGCCCCTTCAACAACCCTTGTGAAAAAGTGCAGAAAGACAAATTCCAAGAAATTGAAAGTCAAAAGCTAGTGAATAATTTGAGAGGATCAATGTTACTATATTTAAGTTTTAACCCATTTATTCTGGCACCACATGCATTTCCGAGATCATCCAGACAATTTTAAACATTGCTCAGAAACATGAGACATTAATGATATTCCTTGCTAATGAGACAGTCACCTGCAGCCAACAGGATATCAAAGTTGACTTCAACTACAGCCAACAGGATATCAAAGTTGACTTCAACTACAGCCAACAGGATATCAAAGTTGACTTCAACTACAGCCAACAGGATATCAAAGTTGACTTTAACTACAGCCAACATGATATCAAAGTTGACTTCAACTACAGCCAACAAGATATCAAAATTGACTTTAACTACAGCCAACATGATATCAAAGTTGACTTCAACTACAGCCAACAAGATATCAAAATTGACTTTAACTACAGCCAACAGGATATCAAAGTTGACTTCAACTACATATAACAAAATATCAAAATTGACTTTAACTACAGCCAACATGATATCAAAGTTGACGTCAACTATAGCCAACAAGATATCAAAATTGACTTTAACTACAGCCAACAGGATATCAAAGTTGACTTCAACTACATATAACAAAATATCAAAATTGACTTTAACTACAGCCAACATGATATCAAAGTTGACGTCAACTATAGCCAACAAGATATCAAAATTGACTTTAACTACAGCCAACAGGATATCAAAGTTGACTTCAACTACAGATAACAAAATATCAAAATTGACTTTAACTACAGCCAACATGATATCAAAGTTGACGTCAACTATAGCCAACAAAATATCAAAGTTGACTTCAACTACAATGAACAAGATATCAAAGTTGACTTTGCAGCCAACAAGATATCAAAGTTGACTTCAATTACAGCCAACATGATACCAAAGTTGTCTTCAACTACAGTCAACAAGATATCAAAGTTGACTAAAGATGCATCTGCTGGTTCTAGACATCAAATATTCATTTTATATTATTTTCAGTAGCTAAACCTATTCGGAATTGCAAACGATAAGATGTAAATTGCGTTATGTATCTCAATTATGAAGCCAGTACTTGCGAGCCAAGATATAATTAAATTGCTTTTCCAATTGAGAAAATCATCATTAATCATAAAGGCGTGATAGGTATTTATTGATGGTTTAAAACAAGCATGAACATTCTAATGGCTCCAGAAAAGTCGCTAACGTGTAAACTTGTTAGATGAAATAATTACTTCACAAGGTAGCACGCAATAAAAAATGTTTACGAAACGTAGGAATATTTTATAGTAACCAAAAACATTCCCAACAACTTAAGAAACAACAAACAAACAAACAAACAAATACCTTACCCCAAACAATTAGAACAAAACGAAACAAAGGGGGAATTCACTGCCATGGTTCTGTTCCTTAAACAACCTTATGTATGTCCAACATAAATGTTTTATTATCTCTACATTGAAATCTAAACAAGTCTGATATACTAGACCCCCAAACGATGCTTGAAAAGAGAACGAAATATTGTATTACTGAAATTTATAATATTCGTGTATCCAACGCTCCATCGTTTCCAGTTTGACTATTTTAATCGATAATTGCATGGTACTGTTTTAGAAGATTTTCCAGGGCTTCGTGTGCCAATATCAGGTAAATTTCTAGCAACAAGATGTTGACAAAAGAGTCAATGGCATAAAATATTAATGCCATGATGATATATTTTGAATTTGGTAAATTTACGTGAAGTGGTTTTTCATTGTTTAAAGATTTTGTATTTAGTAACAATGGCCATAATGAATGGCGGATAAATATCCGTTGAACATTTAAAAGGCATTGATGCCAATATACGTTATTGTTGCAAAATCACATGCAGATTAGGTGGCGGATTTGTGAAAATAAGTTGTAAATATCAATATGAATGGACGACTCGTGACGGACAAAGGACCATTCTCGCTTAGCCTGAGATTCAGAGGAGTTTAAATACCAAAATTTAATATCGTTGCTTAAGCAGATTATTACAGTTTACTTTAACTGGCAATGAACAGTGCTATCTTAAGATAAATGTACCTGTCAACTTATGTGACTGTACATAAAACAGTGCCATTCTCCCGTGTGTCAGATTTTGTTGAAGATGGTTGTGAGGACATCAATCATAGAGGTTCTTCTTTCTTGAACAAGCTATGCTGGTATATTGTCTACTTCAGCTGACATCACTTTTTTAGCTGCCTTTACTGCAGCCTCTACTTCTTCCCTTAGGATCGTGTAGTCAGCTTCTGTTATGGTCAGTGAGAAGTTTAGTACAGATTGGTCTTTAAATGTTCTTCTGGGTGTAAAGGTCTGAACAGTATTCCGTTCATTTGTTAGGATTCTTGATCTTCTCAGAGACTCTTACTAGCCTTGTGCTGGATCGTGGCATCTTTCCCTTGTTTTTCTGTTGTCAGGTCTTTCACCAACTGATATGCCTTTTAACTGTTATTCTGGTTCAGGCTCTTTTCGACTTCCTTAAACTGGTCCTCTATCCGGCTTATTTCTCTTTCTTTAAGCTCTTCTTAACCCTGTTGTTAATTTTCCTTTATTATTCTGCTCCTTCAAGGTCATCTCGAAGTTTTCTCCTCACATTGCAAAGGTCGAGGATATCTGCTGTGATCCATGGCTTCTTTATCCTACAATGCTTGCCAAGGATATCGCTGGCTGTTCCCATTACTACTGTGTTGCAGGTGGTGATCAAGGATTCAGGTTTATTTCTTCAGAACCCTAGAACTGAGAGTGGTGGTGTAAATTTGCCGCATATTGATGGTTCAAATGTATGTGTCACGGTTGGATTTTTAGTTTTTAAAGTTCAACCCTGATCTTTACTTTCTTAGCTTTTTTGTCTTCCTCAGACGAAGTTTGATCATTATTTGTCATGGCTAATTCCTATGTCATCCCAGGGAAGCTACATCTACTGGCAATGTTAACGCTAGACCAGAAGCGCTTTCTCACCATGAAGTCTTCAGACCGGTTTTACTGTATTCCATCGAGAGACTGTGCCAAGTCCTTCTTCTTTAAAGCTTATTGAGGACAATGGTGTTCGTTAGCACTAGCTTATTGTAGGTGGCGAAGTCCAGGAACGTAAGTCCTCTTTCGTTGATTTCTTCCAGTATAGAACACAGATGTCTCGCCAGTCTGCCTGTTCATATTATCCTACCGTGGCATTCCCATCTCCTTGAACAACTATAATATCCTTCTTACGTTTTTGATCAATGAGTTTGTGTGTGTGTGTGTGTGTGATTTAGATTTTTAACATAGCTTTAACATTTTTTCAGTCATATCGCTACGATGTCTGCAGTGTGACAGTTTATAGTAATGTCTAGCACTGGGGCTTCATGCCGCAGACGTGCAGCATGATGTCCCACCCAGTCACATTATCTTGCCACCAGGCAAACCAGCCCTAACACTAACCGCTTAATGCTGAACGCCAAGCGAGGCAACTGTTAGTATCATTTTTTAAAAGTCTTTGGTATGACTTGGTTGGGGTTCGAACCCACGACCTCCCTTATCCGAGGCGGTTGCTCTAACCACTAGGCCATCGGAGCTGTTTTTATGATCAATGAAGGTTTCAAACTGGTCGTAGAATTCATCCGTCGTCATGGTTAGATGTTGGGGCATAAACCTCTATGATGGTGATGTTAAAGGTAGATGCCCTCAAGAGGATGATAATCATACAGTTAGACACTGGCCGACAACCCATGAATACATTCACAATATCCATATGTACCATAAACCCGACAAATGTTCATACTTATCATAATGGATACAGTCTCTGATCATCACTCTTCCTAAGAAAGGGAATCGGCAGCTGTACCAGAACAACCAAATAATCAGCTCATCAGTCACTCAAGCTTAAGATCATCCTCAATAGAATGAAACCCCAAGCAGAGCACATAATCGCTGAAGACGTAGCACTATAGAACATATCTTCAGTCTTAGAATTAACAGACCACTGCCATGTCTTCATTGACCTCAAGAAGCCTTCGACAGAGTATGGCATACTGCCTTGTGGGCCATCATGGGGATATACAACATAAAGCACCAATAATCAGTACAATAGAAAGCCTGCATGACAAGAGGCGACTAGAGCAGTTCTAGTCGATGACAACATGATAAATTGGTTCAGAACCATAGTCGGAGTCAGACATTGGTGTCTTCGCTCATCCCCTCTTTACAACTTCTACCTGCAAAGGATAAAGTCCAATGTATATGAGACATTGGACTTGATAGCTGAACTAGAAAGAAGAATCCGAGCTTTAGAGATAAGATGTTATCGAATGATCCTGAAAATCTCATACTTAGACCATGAGAACATGAGCATTAGAATCCAAGGTGTAATTGGACCATATGAAGATCTGCTTACCACCATAAAGAAACGCAAATTAAGATGGTATTGTCACGTCTCATTGTTCTTACTATGCCCCGTAGGATTGACTTGGACGGGCCAGATGGGCGCGAGACTTCACCATAATGACTGGCTAGTTAAAATTTGTTCCTTATACTTTGCATACTTTCTCCTGAAAATTAAGCACCAGAACTAATCCGAACACTGTCAGATATATTTTAGATCTGATAATTTCTATACACAAATCGATAAAAGTCGAACGTCAGCTGAAACAAATATTCAGAGACATAGGTTAGAAATCATGGAAATGGTATTCGTGGAGCACTAATTGAACGTAATAATATGATGAATTCTACTTAAAGTTAATTCTCCTTTTCATTGTTTAATACATGCTCTACTGAGTCATATTTCATTTAAAGCGTGCTTATGATACTATTAGGTAAAGCATGTCGAATACATTTTATGTGTTGACAACACTCTTCGAGTCTTCTCCAGATAAAAGTCGAACGCGCGTGATTCAACAATCATATTCTGGAATATTTTACAGGTAACATGTATTTGTATTCTTACTTAGCATCATACACCATGCATATATGAAATCACATAGAAATGTGTGTGTGTGTGTGTGTGTGTGTCTACCTGTCTACCACACTATAACACAGTATATGTAATTATGTGCATATGCGTATATAGGTCTAAATAAGCTTGTGTATGGGGATATGCATATACTTTTATAAATGTACACTTGTATATATGGTATATATGCATGTATGGGTGTAAGTACGTATCTTAAGTATTTATTGAATGTAAACTCGAAAGGTTTGTGATGGTCAATCGATTCAACGCAAATAAAGTTCTTTAGTCTTTCTATAGCAGATATACTGTCCCAGAAACCGGTTAAACATGTCTACCCATATTTAGTTAGATGTATACATTTTACAGCGGATGTTTGTAACTGGTTACGCAAGACGCAATCCCGTTGATAATATTTTGAGTCAGGTGAAGATCCTAACGCCATACCTGTTCCAATATTGTTCCATGCAATGAAATAACCAAATGCACTGTCCGCAAAGGCAGCGTAAAGGTTTTATAACAAACTGAAATGTTTTTGTCTTCCAAACAAGTATACACCATCCGATTCAGCAATTTAAACCTTCCTTATCGACGAAGAATCGATATAGTGCAAATACTTCCTTTGTACTCATATAGGACTAATTCTGGGACGTTGTCATCATTGATCACGTCTGGAGAACTTTGAACCTAACGACCCCAATAGCCGTATAAAAACATCAGCTTAGTTGCACGTGAATTATTCCAGTGCTACAGCCTATGAGAACAGTGTATTCAAACCATGAAAATCCTTTCGTTTTAAGCAAACCGTCCTTTTCAAGAGTTTTTTAAATTTTTTTTTTTACCATTGTGACATTTCCAATCTATCAAAGGTTATAATTTGTACGAGACAAGGTTGGTTACTCGATAAATTTCCATTCTTATTCAGTTTATCAATTTGGTAATGCCCACCAATGGTATTTAAGTCAACACTAGCATTCATTAAGGGGCCTAAAGAGCTGTCCATTACGGATCACCGAATCTCACCTCGGTCTTCGTGGGTTTGAGTCTCGGACTGGATCTAACCTCTTTCTTCGTGGATTTGAGTCTCGGACTGGATCTCACCTCTTTCTTCGTGGGTTTGAGTCTCGGACTGGATCTCATCTCTGTCTTCGTGGGTTTGAGTCTCGGATTCCGCCGATATGAGTATGTGAGAAAAGCTGGTCAGTAGCTTCTCGTGGGTCGGTGGTTCTTTCCGAGGTTTTCTCGGATTCTTCCTCCACCATTAATACTGGTCGCCATGTATAGCCTATCTTGTGCTGAAAAATGGGGTTAAACCATACAAAACAACAACATTCATAAAACTATATTCATTTTAATTGTATTCCAATGAGCTCTTTTGCATGTCATATGTTTACTTATAATAATCAAAGTTCTAGAAAATATTTGTTAAACCCCAAAATGTTCATGACTTTTTTCATGGAGGAGGATGTTGCAGACGATAGTCTCGTCACAAGCAGCAGTCTTTACCTTCGCAAATTTGATATGCCAAAACGAAGGTACTTAAGGTGCTGTATGTATGTCCACGTCTTTAAAAAATACACAAAAAGAATGTTAAATACCTGCGAAAGGAATCTGCCTAATGTCAATCAAATATAGCATCATGTTTAGGTAAACTTAAACCCCCTCAACCTGATAAAGTAATAATAGTTTGGTCTTTTAAGGGTAATAAGAATTTGTTGGCACATATATATCTTTAGATAATTTATTCAAGGTTCTTGAAGATAAAGTTTACGACCGATAAAATCATCCTTGGGCTTCACAGATAAAAAAAAACGTACATTTGACATGGTAGATTAGATGGAAGTGAATATGTAAAAAAATTGTTTCAACTTCAAAAATAACTAAGATGATGTTTAACACTTAACACCATGGGAATAAGTTCATATCACTTTTAAACTGAACTAATAAGATATGAAAGAGTACATTTAGTGGTGTTGAAAAATTTGGTTTCTTTTGCAACGACAAAATGATGAAGAGGACAGCCCCCAAATATTCTCTTACAAATATCATGGTCTTAGGACAGATCCAAATCTCGTGTTTTTAAATGATGATGCTAAGGGAACATTGAAGCTCCTATAAAACGGTATTCATCAGACATTTAGAAACAAATTCACTGCTTTATTATGGACCATCTAGTGGGGTTCACAGATAAATAACTGTAATGATTTTTCTTCGTACCTAATTACAATATATATTTTTATCAGGAGCTTTCAACGTTAGGCATGACAAAACATTTCGTGAACTACATATCGGCTCGAATAGTTTTGGGATGTGCTTTAAATAAGACAGCTGAGCGAACGTTTAAAGTCATTTATTTATTTATTTTTTATTTATTTATTTATTGTCGTTATCTTCTGTAAATCTATAATTGTTTCAGATCTGGATGGAAAAAGGATTTGAATATTGTTCCATATAACACGATTTTAGATCGATGAGCAGATAAATTATTGTAATCCAACGTCCTAATATCAACCAATATGAAATTAATAATCATCAAAAGTAAAATAAATGGTGAATCCAATATTGTTACTAGTTTATAATTACGGCAAATGGCAACAACAAAGCAATAATAACTAATCTACGCAGTTCAGCTATCGGTCACGGAGTCAATATTCCAACGAATAAGCTGGCGGATGACTAGAAATTAAGTGGTACCGAATCTATCAATCAAGAATTGACAGAGGAAAAGAATTTACTTTAAAGTAAAACCGATGACACATGTGAAATATAAAACAAATATTCAAAACGACCTTATTGCAGTCTTCCATAAAAGACATCAGCAAAAATCAATTCATAAAGGAGATCTGCATTGCTTGTTCTGCTTGTTTTTGAGAAAAACCCATTTGCATCTCACACACCAATAAAATGACTTATCTTTTTCCTTAAATATATACAGCAATGTAATTTTATGTTTGTCAAGGCCAATCAAATGATCAAGTAAATTCATTATTTAATCGAGAGAGAGAGAGAGAGAGAGAGAGAGAGAGAGAGAGAGAGAGAGAGAGAGAGAGAGAGAGAGAGAGAGAGAGAGAGAGAGAGAGAGAGAGAGAGAGAGAGAGAGAGAGAGAGAGAGAGAAATTTCAGAGACGTGAAGGTGTGAATTTGTCCTTTGGTAAGAATCCTAACTCTGCTCATCTAGATAAGAGGTTAAAGTTAACTCTAACACTGTTCTGTTGGATGACAATTAATATTCCCTACCTCTACTGTTTTAAAGTATGCATATTTCAGGACAACAAGCAAACATAAAATGTTCCCGTCCATACTGCCAACTTTCTTTTAGAGTAAGGGGGGTATAATAGATACTAACAAAGATCAGTTCATTAAAATATCTCAATTGTAAAAGCCCATCACTGCTGTGGCTAGAAGTAGTTTTCTTCAAGATAATGGGTACATCCGTTCAGCTTCCTTGTAATTTGATCTCGGTTATCATAGCCATTAAGATTACAAAAAAGCAAAATGACCAGCCAGTTATTGAACCCACTCGGCCCACTCGATGTAAAAGTCAAATGTTTGTGCCCTTTTAAATGATTTATTACGCAAGCTTTCGAACGTTTCAATACCTAAGATGTCAGTTTTATTGTAA